CAACTTTCACCAAACCTTTAGGAGGGTGGGGGCCGTGTTTTGGGGCAGTCCACTGCAAATTATTTTACTTCGAACATCCCCACCCTCTCTGGGTAGAGATACTCTGGCATTGGGCACTCCAGGGACACTTTGGGGCTGGGCACTCCAGGACTCTGGGGCTAGGCACTCCAGGAACACTCTGGGGTTGGGCACTCTAGGGACATTCTGGGGTTGGGCACTCCAGGGAGACTCTCCCCCCGCTGGGGTTGGGCACTCCAGGGAGACTCTGGGGTTAGGCACTCCACGGACACTCTGGGGTTGGGCACTCCAGGGATGGGCGAGGAGTAGACCGGGCGAGGAGAAGTCCTTTTTTTGTGACAAACACGCGAAACACCGAGAGGGTGCTCACTTTTGGACTTAGATAAAACAGCGAATGTGGTAAAAGTACACACAGCCTCCGACAAACGCTCGTCCTAGTAGTAGTAGTAGTAGTAGTAGTAGTAGTAGTAGTAGTAGTAGTAGTAGTAGTAGTAGTAGTAGCAGTAGTAGCAGTAGTAGTAGTAGTAGTAGTAGTAGTAGTAGTAGTAGTAGTAGTAGTAGTAGTGTAGCAGCAGTAGCAGTAGCAGTAGCGGTAGCGGTGGCAAGGGCAATAGCAGTAGCAGCAGCAGCAGCAGCAGAAGCAGAAGCAGTAGCAGCAGTAGTAGCAGTAGTAGTAGTAGTATTAGAAGTAGGAGTCGGTGCAGTATGAGTCCTGCTCCTTGCTGTTTTGATGGGCGCGGTGGCTCACCAAGACTTGAGGTTCCTCCAAAGCCGTGTGGCTTCAGAGTGAAGGTTCTGCGAGTTCCGGATTTTACATGATTGCAAGCTACCCCGATTGAAGATGGTTGCGCCTTGGCCACTGCAAGTGGCTCGCTTCGGCTAGCCGCGACAGGGGAGCGCGGGAGCTTCGGGTCGGAGGGAGGCACCTGGGCCCAAAACAGCAGTCATCGAAATGCGAACCTCTGCCTGCAGTTCTGTTGCCCTCCTGCGGAGTTATGAAGCCTCGTTGATGACCAGCGTCACCATCTAAGCAAGAACCAAAATTTACAGGGCAGGACATCAAAGAGCACTGCAGTGTGGCCATCTTTGAAGGCGTACACGGGACGAACCATGCCACCACAGCATTCTAACTCGCTGCAGATTTGAGAAAACCACTCAGAAGTTGCATGCAATGATGAATCCGATGATTGTATCTGGTTGTTCGCCACTCTCTACCGAGCTCCAACGTTGAAGCCAAATACTCACACGCACACTCACACACAACCAAAACACCTGCCTGCACCACAACATGGCGAAGAGATTCAAACTGCCCGTGCATTCTGTCCACCAGCTTGTCCTTGGTAGCTGGTAACATCAAGGGGGTCGTCCGTGTCTTTGAATAGCCGTGCCACAAACTTGTGTTGTCTTCAACCCGACCTGCCGTTCAGTCCAAAGCGCCCGCGAAAACATACGCCAGTCTATGCATCTTAGACACGAACTCGGATCGCATGATGTCAACGGCTTCCACAGGATCGTGAACCGACTCCTGCGATCAACTTCCAGTTCTGCACCATGCGACAGCAGCAGGTTGCATCCACACACATGCTTCTATGGTACTGTCATCAACTATTCCAAGACACACGACAAGCAAATTCTCAAAGACATGCCATGAGCACAAATGGTCGTAACACAGCCTAGCTTTCACATAAAGCCGCATGAAGTGTACTGATTTATGTAGGACCTTTCCAATTATCCAGCACCATGCCAAGCAGAAATGCCGACTTGAGCCATCTTGCAGGTAAGCAAGATACAGCCAATTAACCTCCGCATCTTGGTGGTTGTCGGAAACGACCAGCTCGTCTTCATCAAGTCGTACCTTCATCTTGTTACAATAACGACACATGACCACCATCATGCACGGGCTGATTCTGGAGTCTTAATGTTCGAGCTTGATCTTGGGCAGCGAAGCACTGTGTAGGCGATCTGGTCTGAGGCAAACCTTTGCACCATGGATTGAACCAAGTTGAACCAAGTTGCCTCGCAAACCGGCTCGTCGTCGGCACGATTGCTAAAATCCAGAGATGAGATGGGCGTCTCAGTTGATTGGCTGGAGTTCGGCGGCGTGGGCATGGCGCTGGAAGGCGCACGGATGTCCCTACGAAGATAATCTAGGCTGTGCCATGCTCTGCCTGTCTCTATATGCTGGCTGGCCACCATGCAATGGAAAGCTTGCGGCGTCTCCCCACGTGTTCGCCATGAGCTCTGTTCATCTCTGTTCAATCCCGTGGTCAGAACTATGACGGAAAAACAGCTGAGCACCGGACGGTATGCAAGTGCTCCAATATGTGCAACGTGAGAGCAACTGTGACAAAACTCTACGGCGTGTCTTGGACTGGTGTACTAGACGCAGCAACCAGCAACGCTAACAGTTGCATCGGAAAGCACCTCCAACGTTCCCGAAAGAAACAGCCAAGTTCTTCACTGGCACCCAAAAAACTTGAGCCTCGTCTTGATCCGCCCATTTCTGCCTGGCCTCATCGATACAATGCACATCAAAACGCAAACTGTGCTCTTTGCGATCTGACAGCCACTACATCACCAGATACCGCCAACTGCACCTGCCGAAAACAGAGTCAAACACGAACCATAGTGGCCCCCAAGCCCCATGCCGTGCGCAACATGTGTTGCGGAAACCGGTCTTCGAGGAACCTGAGAAGAGAGCGGCTGCAAAAGAGCCCTCAATAGGATGACCCCTAGATGCCTCTCCATCATGGCCAGGTGCTCTTGGTTGTCATGCCTAAGCAACTACCAGTCACAAACAGTGACACAGTGACTACCAGTCACAAACAGTGAAACACTTGATGTTTTGGGGCAACTGCACGCTGAAAGGTCGCGTGCCCGTGTAGAGCATGGCAATGATACAACCTCACATGAAGCGCCCTGCGCTGCATCACTGTCTGGAATCAAGGGAGGCGTGGGTCAAGCTTCCGGCCAGCACTCCAGATGTCCGATTTCTCATCCCAAAGCAGGCCCAAAGCGACCTCTGGACCTCAAGACTGTACCACATGGCACGGATCCGTTATGTCTCGGGTCGGGAACGCAATGTCATCATGCGAACAGTGCCACAAACTGCACATGATCCTACTGCTGCAGACTCCGCTGTGAGCATCGTTGGGCACAGTCCACCCTGTTTGTGAGAGGTCCGAAATCTGTTCTTGTCTTAGAGGCCTGCTATGCGTGTCTTCAAACAGAAGCCGCCACAGCAGCGTGGCGCAAGGCACAAACGGAAAGATGTGAGGGTTTGTGCTGATAAAGGGTTTTGTGGGTGATCGGATCGCATTGGGTTTGGTGAGGCATGAGGCCCGGCATGTCATCGAGCCACCAACACAGCATACCAAGACTCTCATAACCTACACGCCCAACTCAACTTCAGAGTCAACGGACATGGCTCTCAAGACCAAGTTTCTTGCTTCGGAATTGTCGCGTGCCGGCTCGGCCGCGGAAAGCCTCGTCTTTCTTGATCGCAGAGCCGAAGTCGATGATGCTAATGCTGCCTCGGCTCTACTGACAAAACTTCAAGGACTCAGCTGCTGCTGTACACAAGCAAGTGAAGAAGCACTCTCCTGGGCCCACACAATCCATTGGCCGCAGTGCTTCTTTACCCGGCTCCTCTCAATCACGCAACGAAAACAGTGCTGGAAATGGAATACCAGCGAGTGCGGGAATCAATCTTGGTCACATTAGCGTGGGCCCTTCTTCAGAGTAAAGTTATCAAGGGAAAGAGATGAAGACACAAAGGCAAGAAGAGAGAGCTTGCGAAACCCAGTGTGGAGAGCCCCGAAAGCGCTACAACTGAGGAACTCCGTCTCGGACCCCCTTCTAACAAAATCAAGCCCCCGTCGAGAAGGAAGTAGAAAGCAGCAGAAAGCACCTCGTGGGCTGGTCTTGGATGCGATTGGGGCGTTCGCTCGGACGAAACTACTACAGCTAAACCATGTAATCCTAACCCAAACTCCCTGAACCTTAAACCTAAACTTCCTTGACTGCTAGCAGCTGGACTGTTGTCATTATCGCACATCTCGGACACCATGCTTTGAATGCTGAAATCGAACACCAACCAGCACACACTGGAAGCGTCCCGCGGGTGCGGCGCCACGCGAACAGCAGCATCACGAAGCATGACGTTTCGGCATTTCCTAGGCCAGCTGGAGATTATCAAGCTGAAACGCTCTGGAAGATATAGCCTGACATAGCCCTGAACCCTACACATGCTACGTCTGTCCTTCCGCAAAGCTGGAATTTGGGGCTCTGGCAAATCTGTGTGTATGACACCTTTCACCAACATGCTCGACTGGGCTGCATGGCCCCAATCTGCTCTCACGAACTCACCAGCTCATGCGATCATCGGGTAGAGAAGCTTGATTGCACATGCGCTCTAAAGATGAACAGTAGCCAGAAAGTCACTGCAGATGTCACGTCCTTCAAGAATCGAGGCCTTCAAGCTGAATCCAATCCAAGTGCCTAACAGTGCCTAACATTGCCTAACTTTTCAGGCAAGCGCGGCACGAAATCCAAAAACCCTACGGCCCTGGGAAGCTCTTGGGCACCTGCAGCATGCAGACCTGCGAGGCCCTGAAGCAGCTGGTGGGCAATGCTGCGCAGGTCCTATGCAAAATAGGCCGGGAAGAGAGCGTGCCAAGCGGTGCCATGAAAGGCTTGCGCAAAGGCGCGTTCTTTCTGGGGTATCAATGCTTGAGATGCCTTCCCCGTCAAATGCTGCTACGCAAGGATGGAACATCAAAGGAGACCCTGCCAAAGTCCTCCAGGAAGAGCCCACAGCCATTGTTCCTTCCGGGTCACATGTTCATGGAGGGAACAAAAACTGAAAACTAGAAGACGAAAGGATGTGTCGCTGCCTGGGGCTAAGGTTGGTTGTGGGGTACTTTAATGGAGGTTGGCCAGAACACAACACACGGGCCTACGTTACAGTTACACAGTCTCTTGCCAAAGTCGGCTTTAACTACTGCAGGGGTTCGCCCACTCCCTTCCTCAATCCCGCCTGGGGTTGGTCCTACAGTACGGAATGGCTTGCAGAACGATTGTCCTCTTCAAGAAGTCCCGGAGGCTGATGCCCAGCTGCTCAAAGACCATGCCTCAACCAAGAAGCAAAAACATTGAGAACTTACGGGGGCACGTCGAGGGAAACGCAACTCGCCCATTCTGCCACGTCTGCAGAAGGCGAAAGACGCCCTCCCGCCCTCTCTCTCTCTCTCTCTCTCTCTCTAGCTCTCTCTTTTGCTCTCTCTGTTTTTGTTTCTCCTCTCTCTCTCCCCCCTGAGGGGGCCACCCAAAGGGCGCGCATCCATGTCTGTCTCTCTTTTTCTCTCACAATAAGGCCATGTCAGAAATGCTGCGGAGGCTCCAGAAAACCTCAGGTGATTGGGTTCAGGATGTTGTTCAAGGGACTCCAAAATGCACAAAACCATGATTACAAAAATGGCCTCGGTTGGCCGAGCAGCTGTCCAAGAGCCTAACACATAGTCTTTTCCTGCGGCAAGCAGCTCTGCACGTGCACCAAAGGACAGGCGTAACACATTTGGTGTGTAACCTTTTGATTGAAGTCCTAATCAGCAGGCCTGTGCGTGTCCAAGCGCTGGATATACTGGAGCATCTGCAAGAGAAAGCTTGCGCCGGTCTTGACACGCAATCTGCTTATGGCTTATGGTCCGCGCGTGCCAGCAATCCAGCCTCTGCTTCCTCCACTGCCTGCTCACAAAAATCATCTCCCTGCACGGCGCATCTAAGAAGCTGCGTGCAGGCGACACTCATGGATTCCATGTACGTGCGGATCTGCACTGGGGCTGGCACAGCCTTGCCAACCTTTATGGCCACGAAATCTCCAGTCTGAAGATCCTGACTGATCCAGCTTGTCTTTGTCATATCTTGTCACTGATGCCACAACTTAACACGCTGCCTGGCGCAGCTTAAGTCTCTGCTGCCACGCATGAAGCCGCACGGTTTCTTCAAGCCAGGGTAACGACCGTGACCTTGCCTTCGCTGCCAGGACACGGCCAAAGGTTCCGTCACCAAGTCGGCTGCGCAGCTCGTACCTGACAAGATGCTGAAGAAACGATTCCTCACATGGGGAACCTCCAGCAACCATGCGAACCATTGCTCCGCTTCACTACTAGGTCGGGGGCCTTCCACGAGCCAGGATCATTCCTTTCTTCCACCTCTCACATATTCATTCTGCTTCAGAATGCTAAGCTGCTAACCACAAACCGCACCAAAGCTGCAAATTCATGTGCTTATTGGTACAAGGATGTAGGCTGCGACATCTGCACAACAAGGAAGCACCTGAAGTGAGGATGTGCGGACGGTCGTCGTGGGCACGAACTGTCGAGCTCAGACCTTATGCTGAACCAGCCAAGCTCTTACAGGGTGAGGACTGAAAGCACCCGAAGCTGCCACGAAGTTGCTCATCGTCCCTTTCAATTTGCATCATGTTCAAGACATCGACCCCAAACACATACAAGCCCCCCAAGAGGACAATAGGCCAGAGCGCAGCATAATTAACATTGCACGCAGAGAGCTTGCCATGAGCAAAAGGCTTGGACTGGCAAAATGGCAAAGGCAGTCCAGGGTTTGTGAACATGTGAACATCGAGTTTGCAGCGCTAGGTCCAGGTCTGAGATCCCACGGGGGTCGAAAGAAGGCAAAATTCAAAAGCTCCCACGAAGTATGCGAAAGCTGAGGAGTCAGGGCTATTGCTACATCAAGCTACCGTGCGATGTGGCTCTGCTTCTGCTGGGCCATGCTTGCTTCCTTCCCGCGGGGTCGGGATCTCGACCTGCGACACGGCGACATGAGCGGCGTTAGCGATCAGACTGGGGCCCAACCTCGAAGACGATCTCTGCATCTTGCGCGACATCTGCGCAATCAAGCAACATGGAGAAAGCAAATCGTACATTTGTTCTGCATGCAATCGCGCGCGTTCCAAGAGCCCACGGTGCCTGACGAAATCGTCGGATGGTCAGCAAAGCTGAGCCCAATGGACTTCAGTGATCAATATCCTCAAAAGCTCTGCATTTGCAAGACAAAAGCTTTCACACACATTGGACACCGTAAACAACATCTGCAGAGGTGCATGCAGACGCACGCTCCTGGATGAATTTGGCAGCACCGTGTGTAGTAACCCTTGGTCGCATGCTCGGCATGTGCTAACTATACGACAACGCAAGCCGGTCGTGTCTAGAGTCATCCTGATTGTCATAACAACACGGCCGTCAAAGCTGTCAACAAACGTCGAGGCCACGGCCCGCATTCGAGCGAACAGCTGCATGCCGCCCAGCGAACGCATGCGAGCGCGTACTCATGTGCACTCCCACTTGCAACCGCCTGGAACCGCTAACTGTAAAACCACCATTTAAGAGCTGCGATCCTTCTCAAAACATTCTTGGCGCGGAACGTGACCTGGTCCCCTGCGTGGTGTATGAATCTGGTTGGACGGGACCCCTTGAACCCAGAAGCTAAGGTGATACACATGGTACCTACACAGACACACTTGTTGCCGACACACTTGTAGGTGCCCAAGTACTGGTGGAAGAAACAGAGGAAACGAGCGAAAGTGTACAAAGGGATGTCAATGTCAGCGGTATAGAAAAATGACTGGAATGTCATATGAATATGTTGTGAATGCAACGTTCCATATGTGTTGTATCAAATTGTTGGGCTCGTGTGTCAATGATGTGTTGTGATTGCAACGTTCCATATGTGTTGTATCAAGTTGTAGGGTTCGCGTGTCAATATTGAACAGGTTGAAAAGTTATGCCCATGTCACAAGCGTTCGAAAACGGTGCTGGAAGTGGTTTTGTTTGGGAATCGTGTTGTCCAAATGTTGCACAAGCTCACCTTATGCTGCATGAGGCTTTGTGTCTCTGAGGACTTTAGAAACATCTGGCCTGTCCCATTGCATAACAGAGAGCCCGGTTCTTCCATTCCGGAAGCCTTTCGGATCAGCCTCCGACAAACGTAAACCTCTGCACTGCTGGACCCCTGCAATGGGGCAGTGGGTGAGGCACCACTGCGCACCGCCCGGTCGTTTGTCGGCCGCGCTGGAGATGCAGCGAGCTGAGTGGCGAGTAGCCATCGTCCACCGCCATCTAGCAGCTCGTGACTCCACCATGGGGAAGCCTTGACTAATGCACGGGGTGTGGGGTTCGCACCGCAGCCACATCTGCGTTTGATCCGAGCGACTTGACGGATCCTGTACACTGTACATTTCAAAAAGGACAAAAACGCAAAGGGCTCGATGGCCCTGTGACGCGTCCAAGAGCTTCCGGTGAGTCAGGGCTTGGCGTGGCTTCGATAGGGTTAGCTCAGCTACTCTGTCCCTGCTAAAGTGACATTTGCAATATTCTGGCATGTCACGAAATAAAGCTGTGCCATCGAAGCTCCGCCACACGCTGCCTTCTACCCGCCGGCACCGGCTTGAACCACTGGCCACGCAGCTCTTGTCCATATGCATTGCCAAGCAACAGAATTCTCTTCGACTTGTTCCACTCATGAGCGGAATCGTTTAAAACACAATCGTCAAGTAAACATTGACATGTTCGTGCACATGGCGAGAACACAAGCAACACGCGTGTGGCTAACTGCTGTATGGCCAGTGGTCTGGACCTCTCTTTCGGGCGCCAACATCCCCCCCCATACAGAAGGATAAAGGGGGATGTGTAACTATGGAAAAGCGGGATGCGTATTTTCGAGGGTGTGTCAACCAATCCGTGCACTCAACCAACACGACAAATGGAGTATAAGGGGGGATTTTTTCACCGAGTTGGTGATGCTGGTTTGCTTGGGGGATCTTGGGGGGCTATGGGGGGGTTACTCTAGCAGCTAGCAAGGATTGGCTGACGATTTTCATTGGCGTAAGCTCAATGACTCAAAAAAACAAGATCTCTAAACGGCAATACGCATCCCTTGAATCTTTTATTTTTAACTTTTTTGCTTTGGCATGCATTCACTGGCAAGTGGAGTCCCGTGGGGCATGACTGGGACACATTGATCATTGAATGCCCAACGTGACGCTCTACTGCACGGGCATGACGTTGGCTACTCCGCAGCCAGCCGGTCCCAGACAATGATTCATGCCCCGCTCATTGACCCTTGCGGCGTCTGCGAGCCTCTCGAGCTCGCAATCGGCTCAACTCTTCGCGGAGCTGGTCTCGTTCATCCTAGTCGTGGGCTGTGCTCAAACAAGCTGGCACAAGGCAACGGATGAGTTTGCGGGGTGTGTCCAGGGGCGGCTTTACGGGCAGAGCTCGTGTGGATTGCGCGCAATTTGGTCAGGTGAGTTGGGATCGATTCGCGGCATGGGCAGCCTCGCCGAAAGCAGCAGCAACAACGACAACGACAACAACAAGAACGATAACCACAACCACAACAACCAGAACCACCACTAAAACCACAACAACAGAGTGACCACTTTCCAGCAACATGGGCATCCCCCGTGCTCAATCAATCATGGCTTGCCTTGGCCTTTGCGCAAGCCTTCAGGTTGCAGGCCAGCAATTCACTCAGGGCCTCAGGCTGGAGCATTGAAGCCAAACTAGCTTGAGGCTGAGAGGTCGTGGCTGAAAGCCCAGTCTCGTCGATTGTTTCCTTCAGTGCCTGCGAGCGCAGAAGTTACGTTGCCAAAACGTTAAGTTTAGTTGTTCCTCTCACGTACCCTCCGGCTCCCTTTCAAGCGATTCAAGCGCCGGAGTGGATGCCTCCAGAAGCAAATCACGTACATGGATGCCAGCAGCACTGCTGCGAAATCTGATCACAGCTGGCATCGACGCAGACCGTGAACGGAGTTTAAGGCAGAACTAACACTGCAGGTGCAATCACTTTTGATGGCTTGAGCCAATGTTGCATGTGTATGCTCACTCAGTGTGAAACATGCTGTGTGAACATGCTGTGTGACACCTACAAATCTAAACACCCCTCCTAAGCCAGGTGGTCGTTTGACCCATTGGCTTCACACGAGGCTGCTCCGGCTCGTCCAGCATGAACACGCAATCCCATGTTCTTGAGGTGTTTGAGCATTGCCACTTCGGGCATTGGTTTGGTGCAGATGTCGGAGTCATTCTTCTCTGCGCCTACACGCTCTAGCTCCAGAGCTCGTGGCAACTTTCTCTTGCACCCACAGGTATCTTGTTTGCACGTGGCGTGCTTGCCCCAGGCCCTGGCGCTGGGTAGTGCCTCGGGCCGCCGAGGAATCAGACAGATCGAATCCGCAGACCGACCTTCAATCCCCAGTCTTCTAGCATCGCCTGCAGCGACAGACCTATTGACCCTGCTCGGACTATAGCGTAGAGCTCACTCTCCACTCGAAAGGGAGATCGTGCTTTGCACATTGCTTGAGTGCTTCACGCAGTGTGATCCAAGCATTGTCACTAGTCCCGTCGTTGACCTCCGCCTCAGCAATGTCGTGCGCAGTTTATTTTGCGATCCGCATTTGGCGCGCGAGTCCGGACGTCCTCGCCCGCCCACATTCAAGTGAGGGCGGGGTTCTGGATTCAAAGCCCCTTATCCTGCAAGGCTTTATGCCACTGTATTCGTTTTCTATGCCTTTCTCTGGCAAGCGAGCAAGCAAGAAGGAGTGCAAAGTGGACTCGAGGGCAAGGCATTCTTTTAGCCCAAAGGGCTCAGGCATGCTCTCCTCCGCCCCACCGCGAGGCGGGGGAGGGTCCGCCAAGGATGAGGTAGCCATCCCGCCAGGCTTCCCTAAGGCAAATTCACTGCACCTACCATGACACGGATCCTACTGAAGAATAAGGGTAGGTCAGTCACGGTATCGTGTTACGTTCTCCCAGTAAGATGCACTGCGAGGCAGTTTCAGCTGCGAGCCAATAGTAGGAGCACTCGTTTGAAAGGTTAGGCGCCCAGGAATCCCCATCTCCTAGCCGAGCTACCCTGCAATTAGTGTCATTCAGCATATCAAGCGAGTTCGGACGCCCTCGCTCAGGAACCAAGCTTCGGCCCGGCTCATGAAAGAAGCCATCTGTGCTCAGTCTGCTTCGCCCATCATGGACGGGACTAGCCTGAAAAGCTGCCCTTCAAAAGTGAAGCATTTGAAGCGAAGGCTAATTTTCGCCAAAGGCGAAAAGAAAGTTTGCACCCTAAGTGTGAGGGAAGGCACAAAACCCTGCTCGTCACAGAGCACAAAAGCACGCCTCTCCAATATTCCGCTTCTTTGACGCACTGAACAATGCGGACTTGTCGCAGTAGAATGGGCAGTAAAGGGTCAACCGAGACCCAGAGCTGCCGAGGTACATCCGAGGGATTGACTAGACACAGCTGCCAGTCCACAGGGGACCGCAAGAGCTCAGGGTGTGCATCGACCATGGGTTGGGGAGTGTCGTAAGCACGGAGCAAGCACGCCGTGCCGACCGGCCAGTCAATCAAATAGAGGAAGAGAATACATCCCACCTGGGTGAGGTCTCACCAAACGGCAGAACACCATTGCCAAGAGTTTGGGGCTTCCCAGCTCTGGAGGTGGCATGCCAATGCTCTTGTTGACAAGTTAGCCGGTGACAAGGCGAACGCCCGTCGAGATCTTCGAGCACGAGGCGGCCCTCCGAGAGTGGGATGACAACTGCGAGGTGATCCTCAGATTCTTGGGGCGCCGCGTGGCGCAGCTTTTCCAGCACGACAAAGACCAAGGGCCTCAAGTGTGGTTTCCTGGTGAAAAAGAAACCAGAACCAACAAGACGCCCAAGTCGAGCAATAAGGTTTCTGGGGCATCCAAACCCTGTTTGAAACGCAGACCCACGACCACAAATTGCCACAAATAGCAACAGCCCACCCAGCCGATCCCAGGCTAGTGGAGGGCCGAACAAGAAACAACTGCTAGCCGAAGCAGTAGACCGGCCTCAAAATGGGCACCAGTTCCAGTGGACATGCAAGTCCAGCAGTGGAGCCAGGATCAAGTGTGCTATCTGTCAGATTGGGGTGCAACAAATTTCGGGCGAATCAATTGTCAGGAGGCAATTGGAACAGCCTTGCAAAGGACATGACAGCCCTGAAATGTTCTTACAGTGGTGGGAGCCCCACAAAACTCACCGCATGCGCTTTGTTGGGCCAATGTGGAAGTGTGAATTTTGTGGGAAAAGCCAGCAAGCTGGTGTCGCCACCACAGCCAGCTCGCTCATTAAGCAGTGCCGGCTTGGTGTGTCTAGCAATCAAGGTTCGGCGCACAAGGCTGTGCAAGCGATCCGCAGCCTAGATGCGCGCAAATGTGGAGCCACTGCACAGGAAAAAAGAGCCTTTTTCCGTCTTGACAACACGGGGTCTTCGGGGATCACGGGTTTTTGCCCGGATCCCACCGGCCCACCAGAAATCCAGCTTCAACTACTTCAACCTGACATGGGCAGCGTTGCTTCTTGCAACAATAGTTCCCCCCCCAAAGACGTCGGATCTAACCCTGCTCCCCCTGAGCATGGTGGCACTTCCTCCCTTGCTGTGCTTAGTCAGCTTCAAGGCACTAAAAGTTATCACAGCCAGGGCTCAGGGTGCTGCCCCTAAACCCGGCCCCAAAAAACAGTCCCGAAAACCCAAAGACAAAACCCCAACACATCAGTCCAAGCTGTGTTTTGGGGGACAAAAGCATGTTTGACTGCCGCAGCCATTTCCAGGGTAGGGTAGGCCTGCAGCTGGGTTCAGCAGGGTATCCGCTGGGATGGGCAAAGGGGGTAAGGGTAAGGGCAAGGATAAGAAAGGTGCATTAGGCAAAGGGGAGTGGAAGCCGCGCAGCAAGGCGTCGTTGGAATACTCCAGGCGCAGGGCAGAGACAGGAAGGCCAATACTTCCGTTGGTCCAAACCGCAGGATGGCTCGGGAACGCCTAGCAGGCCACAACCGCCAGCGCCGCCACCCTCAAAAAGGGTCAAGAAGGAAAAGACCCAAGAGGACATGGGAGCTCCCAGTCCCGAGCACCAACCAGGGCGTGCAAAGTCAGAGTCAGAATACACCTACGAAACAGAGGAGGTTCCGACTGAGCAAGAGGGCCCCAATCTGGAGGAGAGGGTGATCTCGCCAACCCAGCCGGTTCAGCTGCCAGTAGTCAAGAGGCTCAGGGTGTCCGAGTCAAGCTAGAACCAGCCGAGGTACAAGGGCATCAGGTCAAGCAGAGGGCCGGCCAGGCAACGCCGCAACAAAGTGGGAGTGACAGCTCCCATTCCTCCTGCTTTGAGCCGGTCAGGCTCACTGCCAAGCCAGCTTCAGAGCAAAGGCGCCTTGCGCCCACGCCGGACTGGTCCAAGGAGATAGTGCTCGACCTTCACTATTTCCACCCGGAGAAGCAGCCTTATGGGCGAAGGTTCCTGCCCAAAGGGCAGGTGGCGTACCAGTACGAGTGCCCCATCTCTGGGGGTCACAAGACCATCCACACTGAGCTGGAGGTCCTGGGCATTGGTGGCCCGGACTCCCCCTTCCAATGCTGGAAGGTTGCGGAGCAGTCCCAGATGAGAGAGATCGAGCTCGTGCGCTGCACTGGGTACTTCACACCCATGTTCGCTGACCCTAAGGAGACCATCCAGGTCAGGGCACACGGGGAAGGTTTCGTCACTTGGCCATGGAACTGCTGGTCACGGAACGCCTCGAGCCATTGCCGGACCTTTCTGAGCTACTGGTCTGGAAGATGGTCTTTTCGACCATAGCAGCGTCACGGAAGTGCTCAGTACGCGACCTGTCCAAACACAACTTTGCTTACAGGTCAGTAACGGGAATGGGCTCTGTGGTCTTTGTCGACTTAAACAGTTGGGCACCACATGATCACGTCCCGCACTTCCCAAACAAGGAGCGTGCAAAAGGACTGTGGAGCACAATCCGTGGCTTCTCTCAGGAGCTACTGGACGTGATCCAGAGCTTGGTGGGCTGTAGCCACAACAACTTAAACCAGCTCACTGAGGAGTGCTACGTCACAGCCATGGGGCGCCTGCCTGTCCGCACAGGCCAATGAGCTGGGCCGCTACCTGCGAGTAGGGTTCCAAGCAAAGCCAGACCTTTAGCTACGCACTTCCACCCCTCCTACGGCTTTCCTGGTGGCTTAACCTCGAGCAGACGCGGCCTTGAGCCAAAGGGGCTACGGACGAACGACAATCGTCCGCCATCCACTACCTCAATGCTCAAATCAACTGCTGCGTAAATGTTGACACCCCAGCTGAGACGCTGGCTTCTGCGCGCAAAGCAGTGACGTTGTCGAGCAGCTGTTCAGGACAACAGCTGCACATGTACACGACACGGTAGTCGTCTAAGGTTGCGTATGTACGTCATACGGTCCATCCGTTAGGAATGTATCGACGGCAGAAGGCGAACGGGTCGCTGTGTACCTGCTGGCCATGGCTCTCCAGCAATGTGGGCGCAGTATTCGTTTGCTGGTGGACAATCAAGCAGTTGCTGGGCTGCCTTCGCGCGGCAAGAAGCCTCTGTGGGGGCCTCCTCTAGATTGGCTTGATGGTGTGGCGTGCCGTGCGCTCAACGCACGAGCCGACGCGGCGGCGACCCAGGCCTTGGATGCTGTGAGAGCTGAGGTAGTGGTGGCTTCAGTGCGTGCGACAAAGGAAAGGCGGGCTTGGGCGGCTGCTGCCGTGGCTGCTCAGATGAGGGCTACGCAGCCCTGGCACGTGAAGTTCGTGGAGAAGGTGCGGGTTCTGGTGTTTCAGCGTCGGGCCACTTGATGGGATGCACTCGTGGTGCACACTGGCGATGGGCGTTTTTTGATTCCCGCTTGGGAGCTTCTTTGAGCTGCTTTACAGCCGGACGGGTGGCGCCTAGACAAGCTTCCTGGTCTCAGTCTGTCGTCATTTTCGTCAACAGGACTCACTCGGCGTGCAGGCGACCTCGCGGTCCACACGGTCACTGCGGCACAACGTGGTTACCATAATACCCCATGACCCCGGGAAAGGGTTGGAGTTCAACTTTGTTGTAACTTTTTTGCCCCAAGGTTGCAACTAGTTAAACTCCAACCCCAACCTGGAGTTTGGGTGAAACCGACGTTGAGTCCAATTTGAGGATAACATTTTTTCTGAAGTTGTGTTCAACCGAACTCGAACCTAGGTTGGAGTTCAGGTTAACTCCAACCCGAACCTGGAGTTCAGGTTAACTCGAACTCCAACTTGGTTGGGTTAGGTTAACTCCCAATTCGAACCTGGGTCAAGGTCAGGCTATCGGGTTAAACCGAACCCACCCCCAAACGGGAGGGGGGGGGGGGGTCGAGGAACTCCAACCTGGGTTGGAGTTCAGGTTATAACTCAATTCCAACTCAGGTTGGAGTTCAGGTTAACTCCAACTCCAACTGGGGTTGGGGTTAACTCAACTCAAACCCGGATAGTATTAATATTCTTCGTAGTAG